CACACACACACACACACACACACACACACACACACACACACACACACACGTGTCAGCCACTCAGAGTCACCGAGAAGGAGCAGGTGGCCAGATAAATTTTCTAAAATAAGTGTTTGAACCATTGTACAAATGACAATCACAGAAAAAGGACATTATCCTAAAATGACATTAAATGCCAGATAGCATAGGTAGTCCTTGAATTATGGCAATTGGAACTGTTTGAAAATTGCTTGGATTGATATAATCTGAATCTGTCCCCTTTTAGTCTGTCTGTTAGAACAGTGTTTTTCAACCTTTTTTGTGCAAAGGCACACTTTTTTCATGAAAAAAATCACGAGGCACACCACCATTAGAAAATGTTAAAAAAAATTAACTCTGTGCCTATATTGACTATATAGAAAGTAATTCTCCCACGGCACACCTTACACTATGTCATGGCACACTAGTGTGCCGCGGCACAGTGGTTGAAAAACACTATTATAAGGAACATGAGAAAAAAAGCAGAAAAGAAAGGGGAACCAAGAAAAAATAATAAAGATGAATAAGTTACAGAGAACCACATTAGGAGATATCAAATAGAGTTCTATTTTACATGTCAGGGAATGGATCTTATGGAATGCTGTAATGTGCAAAATTTTGACATAGCATCATAGGTGAACTACTATGATTTAGAAATGTGTGCAATCTAAATTATAATGGCTTGTTTAATGCTTAATCCATATTTTGACAGTACTTGTGAATGAAGCCAGATCTTGCCCTTCACATTTTTGCATAGTTCATGTATTGTTGGAATCTTTTTTCTTCCATTGTCTTTTTTCTTCCATTGTCTAATCTGGAGTTGATTTGTTCTAGATAAAATAAAATGAAATGAAAGCTGACTTAATAAATTGGATGAAGAAGCTGTCTGCATAAAGCAGGGATAGTGCCAACAGTATGGTCTGGATGCCTCTTGCTATGACCAGTCACTTTCAGTTTTTGGGCCAGTAAAGTTAATATATTATCTTGTTCTATTTCACTGTGATTTCCCATGGCAAGAATTGATATTACAATTGAGGGAAGTTCTAATTAGAGTTTGCCCCTAATTTAGTAAACACTACTCTGGCCACTTGCATATTTTAAAGTGGTTTTAAGAGTCTTATTTTGATGCTTTGCTTCTAATCCCTTTTGCCTGACTGTCTCTGCATGTAAAGATGGATTGTAAAGTTGAATTAAACAGTAAATAAGATGGGACGTTGATATAGTGACTGTGTGAAATTGATATGATATAATTAAAATGTAAAGTCAATGTTGAAATGGAGTATATGAAAGGAGAAACTTCAGAAATCCTAAGGTATTTTAAAATGTAGTGATCATTCCTTATTGCTCCACTTGTAAATATAGACTGTACTTTAATAATGTAAACAGAACTTGGTTGTTTTCTTTCAATATAAATACTGTTTTCTTGAGTATGATTTCAAGAGAGATGCTCATGTTTCAGATATTGCTAGATTACTCTCCATAACAGAAACTTTTTTTACTGCAATATAGGAAAAGAGGGAGATTTGATTGACATTTTCTTCAAATTACTGTGAAATATTAAAATATTTCATACATTTCTGATAATTAAGAAATCATTAATGTGTTTGTCTTTTGTGTCTGCGAAATGCCTAGACATTGCCAAGATTGTATGTAAACAAACCATGTTTTAGAAATAATAACAGTCATTATCAGATTACTGTATGAGAAACAATATACTTTTAAAGAAGTATATTTTAAAAAGTGAGCTTTTCATGGCAGTGATAGTTATCAATTATATGGATTGTATAACTGTGTACTTTATTGAGATGTAGAAGGTTGCTTTATTGAGATGTAAAAGGTTGAAGGTGATTTGAAATATACTTTTAAAACCACATTTCTTTGCATCTAAGAAGAAACTAGGAATATCCTGAAACTGAATTATTTTTCTTTGCTTCTTCCTTCATGCAGAAATTAAAGGGAAAGGCAAAGTTGAGGAATTAGGAAATACCAATATACTTTAGGCTTATGTAGAAAATATTGAACTTTTCCAGATTTTTCCTTCAGTTGGTTCATGAGAATTTATGAGAATTTATTAGTATAATAATTGTTCAATTTTAGGACATGACACCATTTTGGACTAATATTTAAAAATTTTGGATAAATTTGCCTAATTATAAAGTTTTAGATATTTTTTTCAAAAACCATAAACTCATGAAGAAAATATGTCATATCAGAACAATAAACAGTATAGGTTTCATCTGTTGATTTTAAAAAGAAAAAGCTGATTGGTGTGTGTGGGATGTAAAAGCTTGTTAGTGTATTGAAAAGAAATTTACAAAGAAATGCACCTTTGTCACTTTATTGTTCTCTGTGGAAATTTCTTATAAGATTCCAGAAGTGCTGAAAATTAACACTGTCTGAATATGCCTTAATTCTCTAATATATTTTACACTAATATATGAATAGTGTAGTGGTAATAATAGTGGTATTGGGAAAAAGCTGCTTAGCTAAAATACTATTACTTTATGTAAATATCAGCTTAAAGCCAACATTATTTTTGTGGGGGTGAGGATGATTAAAATTTTGTCTGGGCACAAGAGAGTCATCTTTATAAATTGATAATATCACAGGAAACAAATTATAATGTTCTATTGATAATTGGTGGTTAGATGTTGATGCTTCATTATCTGGCCAAAATTCATAAGATTAAATTGTTTGTTTTATGGTATAACAAGTATTTTAATGCTGCCTTTACAACTTAAAGCCGCTTAATTTTGTTCTTGTTCATTGTTTTTTTCCCTTTCTGCTTTAAAAGGATATAATTAGTAAATTGGCTTTTCTGCTAAAATATTATTTGGTGGAAAAGAAGTAAGTGGCATTGTCTTTCCAAAGATGTTCCTATACTCTTGTAGACACAACTTGTAAAAAAGTTTTTCAGTAAGCTTTTCTGACAAATTGGTAATATGTATGCAGTTACAGGACTGATTATTTTTACATAAGACTGGCTGCATGCAGATGTTACACTAAACTATGATTTAGTTTTTTTCAAAAAAAACAAGCAATAGTGACCCTCAGCAAAGTAAATGCATATTTTTATTGTTTAAGGTTATATTTTAAATGAGTTGAAATTTTTACCTGCTGTGTTTATTAGGAGTACAGAAAGGCCAAAGGATAAAAGGAGAGAGAGGAAGTCAGGAATTGGAGCCATAGTTATAATCAGTTGCCACTTGGATGGCTTAGGACATAGATTGAAACACTAGATAGCTGATTGATTCTTTCTTTTTCTGTAAAGATTACTCCACGTATTGGAATAATGATGAGTAGAACAAAAGTCTTGAGCCCAATTCAGAATAGAACAATAACATAAATCCTCCTGTCGCCAGAAGGTGTGCAGACAACTTAAAGCTCTATTTTGTGACTTGTGTTCATTACAAGTGAGCGGCTGGAAAACAACTAACACATGATGTTATTGGCTTTTTAATAAGCTGTAGGACACCCCCCCCCCCTAGATTTAGCATACATGTTCCCTCTACTGTCAGTAAGATTGGTTCAATCCACTGTCCAGCAGACAGTTAATTTTACTGTGATTTGCAGCTGGAAAGAAAGTGACAAATATATAGTTTGTTTTCTTTCCCAATGTGCACACCTCCATTCTCCCTCTATAGACACCTGTGCTTTAAAAAAAAACTGTGTAGTACTTAAACTTTTCCCTTGTGATATGTTGGTTTGAATTCCAGCAGAAATAGCTTTATGAAAGCTAGAGTCCTGTAGTAATGAAGGTGCTGGATTAGAAGAAGGGAGATCCATGTTCAAGTTTACCTTCAACCACAGAGGCCCATCAAGTGACTTTGGGCTAATCACTTTCTTCAGAGCAGTTTAATGCACAAGGTTTGATTCAGTGGTGGGATTCAAATTTTTTTACTACTGGTTCTGTGGGCATGGCTTAGTGGGCGTGGCAAGGGAATGATACTATAAAATCTACATTCCCACCCCACTCCAGGGGAAGGTTACTGCAAACTCCCTATTCTCCCCTGATCAGCTGGGACTCAGGAGGCAGAGAATAGGTGGGGGTAGGGCCAATCAAGGTGGTATTTACCTGTTCTCTAAATTACTCAAAATTTCCGCTACTGGTTCTCCAGAAGTGGTCAGAACTTGCTGAATACCACCTCTGGTGTTGTTGTTGTGTGATAAAATAGGAAGAAGTAACAATATAGGCCACTTTGATTTATACCGTAGTCCAGGTACAAATGTAATGAATAAATTAATGAATGAATACACAATCTTTCCATAATGCAGAGGTATACAAACAATCCATATATAACATGTATAGCACAGGCAGTTTTATTTCTAGTGTCCTCATTAAATGTTTGTCTATCTGTGTGTGTATGTATGTATGTATGTGTGTGTGTGTAGGACATTAAAATTTTCCCTACCTAACTTGAGTGCTCCTGAGAACTTGGATGCTTCTTCTATAAATTCCTCTGCAAGGTTAGGACAATATAACTCTGGCATCATTCTTTATTTAGAAAGCTGAATATATTTTTATTCATTGACTGTCTTCAAGTACATCAGTTAATAGGATGCTACTTTCATAATGCAGGAGGCATGGCATTTCCTTGAAGCCACATTTTTTGGAAAAGGCTGCTTAGTTTGTCTGTTTACTTCATTTGAACTTTTGCTAATACTTTCACCTTTCTTTATAGATTCATCTTGCATGGAAAAACTACTTTCTAAAGACTGGAAGGAAAAAATGGAGAGATTAAACACAAGTGAACTCCTTGGAGAAATAAAAGGTAAACTCTAATGTGGATATAATGTCTTAATTTAGAGAAATAGTCCTCTAAAAAGATTGATGGATGATAAATTCCCATGAATGCTAATCCATCCTTTAAATGTAATTTGAAGCAAATGAGTAGAGGTTCCTCTTGAATGTTTGGTTGTATGTTCACATGAATTTTATTTTGTATTTAGCCTTGCCTCAATGCTGATGAACTGGGTGGAATGAGATTGATTCTGATATCAGTGTTGGTGATCTGCTTGGTTCATCTTTCACAAAACATCTGCCTCTTATTAAGTAGGGTCTTGGGAACTTACTGCCACAATATTTTCTTAGACTGAAATTCCCTTAGATGGTGCAGTCATGGGTGGCTATGATAAAACTTGTTGCATTTTTCATTGAGAACAAGAATTTGGGTTTTTGGTTTCATATTTCTTTTGTATAGCCATTTCTTTCTTCCTGGAATTATTAATTGTTGTAGCAAGTATCTTAAAAAGAAACTGAAATGGTGAGAGAAAAGAATCCCAAATAAAAGAAACAAATGTGTGGTCTTCTGAAGAAGAGCTGCTTTTGCACTTTTAAAAATAATTCTTTATTTTAATTCCCCAATTCCTTGCTTTACTTTTGAAGGAAGAAGTTGTTTTGGAGGATAAATGAAGCTCATAATCTTTTAATACATTTGAGTTATGGGAAAGGCTGCTGGGGTTAAAAATCATGGGGATTCTTTTCTGCCAGTATCACATGTTGGAACAGTACAACATATAGAATAAATGATATATGTTGCAAAATAGACATGGTTTTAGTATTAGATTTTGTAATATGTGAGCATTTTTCTTTGTAGATGAGACTTTAAAAATAACTTCCCCTCTACATGGGCAATTAGTCTGTTTTGTAATATTTTATAAGAGGTCTTATTCTGAATCAAGCCAAAGGCTTATTCTAGCCCTAGGTTTTGTTTCCACAGTTGGCAGCTAAATGCCTGTGAGAAGCCCAAAATCAATGTGTAAGTACAAAAACATTGTGCAAGTAATATCCCAGTGTTGGACACAATATGTAGCCATTATAATAGCCTATGATAGCCATTGACATCCTTATTTTCCATGAATTAATATCCTTTTAAAACTTTCCAAGTTGACTCTAGAATTTCACCAGATAATTCTCCTGTACATGTCCCAATGTAAAGTCTAAATTATATTGAATATCTTCCATCTCATGGTTTTGATTTGATCACATGTATCACTTTAATTAGCTTTGTGGAATTTTTCTAGGTTGTATTGTATGTTGCCCACTTAATTTGACATGGGCAGCCAGATAAATTTGATGAATAAAATGAATAAAAAATTAATAAAACCTTTTTTCTATCTTACCAATTTCTTTAATTTGCATGCATCTTTTAGGCAGAAGGTGTTCTCAGAGTATTACAGCTCTAAACAGCTAAATGCTAGTATGATTCTGGAGGAAAAAAATGATTCAAGATAAATAGTTGTTGTGATGAAGGGGATCCTTCCCAGTATACCATGATTAATGATGGACGTCTACACTTTTCTAAAGAGCAGCTACTACTGGTCTAATAGGGCTATTTTGGAGGACAGTGGATTCTTCTGACTATTTAGACGGCTTGGCTATCTGATTAGAGAATGCAGAATTTGGGAAATGTGTGCCAGTGGCTAGTAGTGCATGTCTGTTGCTTCTCACAGGAAACATACCTTGCTGTAGTCCCATTCTATCCCATGTGGATGACAATTAGGAATTTTAGGAAGTTTTATAGGAAGACATTTGTGGAAGGGTGTATTTGTAAATATACAAATTTCATGGCCTCAACCTCTTGAACTCTTTATTAGAATGCTCATTGGGTTTGTTCTCAAAACCACTCTGTACGCCAGAACTTTGATTGGAAGATTGGAAAAGGATTTCCAATCTTTTTCTGACCTCCTTCTGAAGAACTAAATGTACAACACTGTCCAATTGAGTTTTTTTTAACCCTTTAAGTACCTCTTATTTTTCCTTTAATTTCTCTTTTAATTCCCTCCCTATATTCTTTTCTGTTGGAACCTCTTATTTCTCTCCCTCCATTTTAAACTATTGAAATTTTCATTTTCTATTACTTAATAAAAAGAATATGGTTATTTATCCCCATTAATTGTTTGTTTTGTAACAGCTTACATCAGGGATGGGGTCTGGCTTCTGCTATTGCCAGTTTGCTCAGGGGCGTGGTTTGGGTACGTGTGCTTGATGCATGCTATGCATGCATGTGCAGTAGTAAAAAAATGCATCTGTGGACAGAAGCAAAAAACAAAATGGTGGCGCTTATGGTGGTGTGGATAGAACCAGTTCGGGGGCATGGCAGGCCGAGTTACTACCTACTCGGCCAAATCGCTCCGAACTGGTAGGAATCCACCTCTGTCTTACATTGATCTTAAAACATAAAGTTAATATACATATCAGTCCATGGCCTGAAACATCATAATTAATCTACTGACATGCCCTGTCACGTGTGTATTTTAATTGGCATATAACCTCCTTTAAAATCATTACGATTAAAACGTTACGATTGTTCCAGTAGTCTAACAAAAGGGTGAATTGTGAATACTATCTCAGAGCAACGGGTTCTAGTGTCCATTTCTGGAGGAACTTACTACTGAAACATAAACTGTATTTATAGGCATTGTGGCTTAAATGTCATATGCGGTCTTTGTATAGCAGGTTCTATTTTGGGAGAGACATTGACTGATGTGAATAGCTTTGCCCACTGAAGAAAGGCATTAGCATTGTGAAGTGCTCTGACTACGCAGATGACTTGCAGACTCTTTTTTACATTTCTCCTCGGGTTTTAAATGACTTCACATAAGGAGATATTTTCAAATCAAACCGGTGTGTGGTGGTGGTTATGTGGATTATTTGTAATTTCAGTGGTATAATAATAGTTAACAAACAGGAAGGTTCATGCAGGTTTCTAGACTTTAAAAGCTTGGCAAAGAACTTCAGCTCTGTAAGAGATTCCATCTACAATGCAGGCAAAAAAAAATATTCCACAATCCGTATTGAATTTCATGCCGATAGAAATAGCACTTTCTCCTTTTAGGAGCTAGGAGAAAGACAGCCATGAACTATAACGAAATGCATATTTTAATTGTGATGCTTTTCTGGAATCAAGTTGGGACCACCCTGGGAAAGTTGCTGTGCTATGTTGTGGTTACAAGTGCTACCTCTTGTTTTAAGAGGAGGAATAATTACTCTTGAATTAAGAATTCAAAAGTGGAAAATACGGGTAAGCTGTCAGACATTTGAAATCTATGATAATAGAATACACGAGATCAACCTGAATAAAAGGTTACCATGCTAGTTTGCTTTGCAGTTCATTTGAGATGTGTTGAGATTATTTCTTTTACAGCGCGAAACCACTTTTGGCATGTCATGAGTGTATACAATAGCTTACTTTATAAATATATATCTTGCATATCTATCACAGAAGCAGCCATAGGTTTTTAATTATGCCACTTTGTATGGTTGTAGACATTTCAAAGCTCCCTTTTGTGCTCTGTGTTATAAATGTCTTTTACTTCTTTTGAAGTCTACATGATATACATATGAGCAATTAAAAACACAGCTCAGGCTTGGAGACACTGGGTCTTCTTAATTAAACCTCAAACAAAAGCTACAAGCAAAAAAACCCCTCACTTGTATTAGAGTCATTGTTAACTGCTAGGCTTTAGAAAATAAATATACAGGAAAAAGATCAGTTGGTTCCAATTAGAGAAATCAGTGTAAATATTGAATACAAGGGGCCAGGGGAAACTCCTTAAAATTAATACCAGGTCCTAATTAGTAATATACTACAGGGCATAACTTTGTTTTTAGTAATGAATTTGTTAAAGTGATCAGATGGCCAGTATGTGTATGTGTTTTACGGTTGCTATTTCATAAAAAATTGTTGGGGGGTATAAAGTCTGCCAAATTTGTGTTGTATTAATATCTATGGAAAAGTTTGTAAATGTAGTCTTAATAGAAAGAGTTGGAAAATAAAGTCCTTAATTTTAAGTTAAAACATATATTTAAGTAACATTGCTTACTTTTGGTTTAACTTTTTCCAAGATGCATATTAAAGTGAGAGCTGATAAGGTCAGAGAACTGTACCTTAAACTTCACAATTAAGCACCACTGAAGACAGTATGGAGTCAGGGTTTCATACTGTCCATTAGAAAATATCAAAGGTGGGAATTGATTTAGAACAAGGATATTTTTTTTTTTTGTATTCATTAGATGATGTGGGCTGGGCATCACATAGCTTGACAAGGAAGGATGTGCCTTCCAAGGTTGGCCTTATTTTTTAAAATGTATTTTATATACATGTATATCCTTGAAAATTATACTTGTCATTTCCTATGCAGTAGCAAGCGTGGCTTTTGTATTTCTGTCTGTCCTTACTGTACATAAAGAAATTCAACTCTGTTCATGGTTTTCCTCGTATTTTCATCCTCTGTATTCATAAACTGTTGGATCTAGAGTATAGCTGATACTTAAAAAGATATTTCAATTAGTCAGGAAAAAAAGTCAGCATGAATTAGCTGTTCAGTAACTAGCATGGTTTCCCACCTTCCCAGGAAGATGTAGTATCATTTGAACGTGTACAGGTAGTCCCCAACTTACGACCACAATTGAGCCCAACATTTCTGTTGCTAAGTGAAACATTTGTTAAGTGAATTTTGCCCCATCTTACAACCTTTCTCGCCACCGTTGTTAAGTGAATCACTGCAGTTGTTAAGTTAGTAGCATAGGTGTTAAGGGGATCTGGTTTCCCCATTGACTTTGTTCATCAGAAGGTCACAAAAAGGAGAACACGTGGCCCAGGACACTGCAACCTTCATAAGTGTGAACCATTTGCCAAGCATCCAAATTTTGATCACGTGACCACTGGGATGCTGCAATGGTTGTAAGTGTGAAAAATTGTCATAAGTCACTTTTTTTCAGTACTGTTGTAAGTTTGAACGGTCATTACATGAATTGTTGTAAGTTGAAAACTACCTCTA